CATTGAGCCTCTCGGGAGTCATAACATCTGGTGACCACATTAATATGTTTATGTTTATATAATTTTAAATTATACTTGTTTTGTTTTGTTTTGTTTTATGAAATTATACAATTGTACGGACCATATGTCACTATTTTTCTTTTTGAAGTATCTACTATTGATGTAAATTTGTAAATGAACTTTGTATAATATTGTACACTTCAGCCGTCGCGCCATTCGTTGACTGTTCACCATCTAGTTCCATACCCAGCCGTCAACCAACTATTCATGCCAGGATTGATCTTTAACGTTCGTGCCGTATCACTGGTGATGCGAAGCCTCACGGGGGGAGGATGTTCAAACACCGGACTGTTTTGGCGCGGTTCAATTACACCGCGTCGTTCACAGGTACGTGTGGTGCCAGTCTGGCCATTTTCATTGCCTCTCCCTCGAACCGGTCACGCTGTGTCCATGCCGCCGGCCGTGGATTTTTGCAGGCGCGTTACCGGTACCGTGCGCGCAACGTGTTGTCGTTCGTCGTTGTTTAACCGTTGGTCGACGCTTTTGCGTCGCCGTGCATTTTTTAAAAGTTTGTATAGTGTGCGACGAACGGTTTCATTATTCCGTGTGCCGCCAATAATATTTCGTGTGCCGCCGCTACGGTTTGTCGTTTCCGTGTGCCGCCACTACTACGTGTGCCGTCAATTTCGTGTGCCGCCGCTACGGTTTGCCGTTTCACGTGTGCCGCCACTATCACGTGTGCCGTTGGTAGTAATTTTGAGTGCCACCGTTAACCTTTTGTGTGCCGCCACTATCATCGTGTAACGCCGCTTGTGATTCCGTGTGCCGCCACTATTATCCGTGTGCCGCCACCAACTCGATCGTGTGCCGCCATTGCGTAAGCGTGCCGCCGATCCAAATTGCGTGCCGCCACCATCTTATTGTGTGCCGCCGCATCAACCGTGTGTTGACGATTATAGTTGCGTGCTGCCGCAGCGATTTCCGCGGGACAGCTGGATGTCGATGTCTTCGCAATCGATCCGGAGGAGTCTCAAGTCTCACTTTCATCAGCGTACCAGGTCAATTGATTCATAATTTATGTGTTGATATTTGTGTGTTCATTTGTATTTAATTATACCTACTGTAAGATTGGGGCGCCCTCCCTTTTGTCATATACATACTATTATATATTGCGTTAAGTGTATACAATATAGTCATTTTTGGTGTTAATCCGCCGTTCATAATTATTTGGTGTTTTGGTGTTATATTCTTGTGGTCACCTATACTCGATACTACAGCGCAAGTCACGGCAAACAACTGCCACAAATCGTAAGATTTGTCGTGGCGCAACACAAGGTTTCTCGAACATAGTTCATATTGTAACCAAAAAAATCTAAAAAATATATAAACACTAAAACTCATTTTTTTTTATAGACATCTGAAGTTCAAAATTTGGAAGAAATTTGGTATTTAAACGAAGAATAACAATTTTAGTTATTTTGTTATAATTTAAAAATATTATTCCTGGGTACCTACTTTAAATTCTTAAAATATATTATTATATTTTATGTTATATAGGTAGGCAAAGGAACTCACCGTTTTAAATTATAGAATACAACTATACTGCGGTTTAAAGAAAAAGTTGTAATAATCACTGTAATTTGTGTTAAATTTTTTTTTATATATTTATAACAATTTTAAAATCAAATTATTTTGTTGAAATGTCATTAATGTACCTATACCTATCTATTTTAAATTTTGAATTAATAGAGGGCCAAATGACATTCAGTTTTGGATCTCAACTAGAGTTTGATGACTGCCTACAATGATTTTATATTTTTCTATTGCCATGGTATATAAAATTAAATATATTTCTGATGTTTTGTGATTATATAATAATATATGTCTTATAAATAATAATATAATAAGGTATGAGCTATTAGTATCAAAATATAATGCATAATATGAAAATCATAAATGTAATGATATAAAAAACCGATAAATCGTCGCCTCAGAATGAAAAGGTTCTAAATCAATTTTTTTGAAAAATCGTTTTTTTTGCATATAATCATTTATAATTTTTTGTTGTATAATTCAATCTTGAAATCGGATCGATCCGTTGATTATTCAATGAGATACAGAGAATGAAAAGGTTCTAACTCATAAAAAACGTGAATGATAAGCGCGAAACCGAGAAATATCAGTTACAACCTTTTCATTCTAAACAATAATTAAGAATGAAATAGTTCTAAACGGTCTTAAATGTAATATCTCAGAATGAAAAGGTACCGTTATAATACGGTTATACCACTGGTACAATATAAATTATTATTGTGCCATAATAAAATATTATTCCAGCATTCCAGCATAAATTTACCGTCTATTTTTGTTTTGCTGAAGTGATAAGGTAGGTAATACCTACATGCCACATGTATATAATACCTACTTTAGTATTATAAGAAATGGTACATTTAAATTTGAATTACGTTTTTGACATTTTTCATTATTGTGAATTATGATTTATGCCGTTTAATTTATATTGTTGCGTTTTCAATATACCCCCTTCCCTACACTAATTGCGCCAATGGACCATACAATTGTAACTTATTACTTATAGTAGGTATGTCCAGGCACATACCCAACAACAAAAAATTCCGGGGGGTGGGGGGACCCCCCGCCCACTACATATACGGGTATGTTATAATATAATAATACTTAACTTAAAAACTAAAAATATTGCATAATAAAAAAATGTATAATTTATAACATAGTTTACACTAGAAGTTGGTATCACTGCATAGAAAAAATGATTCAAATCAGAATGAAAAAGTTCTAACTGAATAAATAATTTTTATTTTCAGAATGAAAAAGTTCTACACGTAAAACCTTTTAATTCTAAAACTAATATTTTGGTTTTTTATGATTAACTCAGTCAATAATTGAGGAAAGACAAATTGCAGATAAAGTTGTGTTCTTTGGAACTTTCTTGATATTGCATACAATTTTCACGATTTAGTAATTATGGTGAAAAAAGTTATTCAATGTCCTACTTAAAAACGTTCCCCTGAACAATTATATAAATTGCGTTAGAACCTATTCATTCTGAGACGACGAAATGAGAACTAATATTGGGTATCATTTAATAAAACTATAATATTAGTGAGACCCTGCAAATGTGCTTCTCATGGCAATGTTACAAAAATTCACTAATATTTGACATTTTTGTCACTCGGTAACATTGGAAAAACTATAAAAATTCACATGGCGCTTAACCCGTTAAATGCATTAAACAATATTTTTGTTTTAATTTATATTAATAAACTATTTGCTACATAAAATATATATGTAATACGTCATATAAACGGTCAATATATTTTTAATTTTGGTTTATTAAATATTATGTGCATGTCATACTATAAGTACCTACGTATAGGAATGCTAAGAAAAAAAAAAATTATATTACCTATTTGTCATGCACCATCGAATCAAATATTATAGGTTATATTCGACACAATTTATCTCAAATTAAATTATTATATTAAAAATATTAAATACCTACTAACAGGTTAGGAGAGTTTTTTTGTTTGTAATTTTTTTTTTTTACGAGTTGTTGTAACCTAACCTAACCTATGGTGGATTAATATAATCAATTAATACAAAATCCTAACCTAACCGTACTAATATCAGATGAATAAAAAAAACCAAATTGAAACATGTTTAAATGTTTAAATTATAGCCTGTCTTCTTCCCACAGGTCTATCTACACACAAACATTAATTTATATATATACATAATATATATTATATATTGACAAAAAATAATAATACAAATCAACAAACATGACCGATTAACCATATAGCAACCAATATATAATACACTGTTGCGCCACTGTTGTATTTTTTACATCCAGATTTCCTACTTTTCCGGTGGATTTTCTTAAGATGTTCTTTCTTAAAAACCTTCTACTGGCAATTACGAACATCTTACAAAAATTTGAGCCAAATCGGAGCAGCCGTTCCCGATTGATGAGGTAATGACAATTTTTCACGCTCCATTTATATATATATATATATTATATATGTATATATATATATATATAGAAAATGTAAAAAATAATAAAACTTTGATATGTATTCACCTTATAAACCTTCTCTGGACTTCCTCAAATAATTCAAGATCAAAATTAGCCAAATCGGTCAGGCCGTTCTCGAGTTTTAGGGAAACTAACAAACAGCAATTCATTTATATAGGTACATTTATTTATATAGATTATAAATCATAATATTATTTTATACAATATTACTAGATGTTATTATTAATTACCTAGTCAATTTATAGTGTATACGGTGTGAATAGGTTTGTGGTATGCAAATAGCATAGATTGAATATAAATATTTTGAAAATTGCCTTGAGTACCTATGTTCCAAGCTGACTGGTACTCGATGTCTCAATCGAGTGTCAATAAACGAATTATAAGTCTGAATTCCATATTAGAGTAAACTAATGACATCATTTTAAATCCTCAAAGATTTGAATGAAAATTATTTCTTGGAATAAGAAAAAAATTATTGTGACGTGCAATAAAGGTGTTTTATTAAGGTAGGTATATAAAGCTATTTAGCTATATGGTAAAGGGAGGTATTTCAATTATTACATTACAATACAAGTATTCGTGTTAACATGAATAATATGTTGAAATGTACATAATATATGTAATGTCTTAGGAAATAAATTGGCCGTATAATATATTTTCAATTTTGAACAATATAATATTATTTTGTTGTCATGGAGATTTTCGTTTGGATGTTTATGGGTACGACCGATTACACATTTTGAATCAGTTTATATTTCGCGACGAAACATCTCTCGAATATTATAGTAATTTTCACATAAATAATATATACAATGATCAACTTATGATTTTATTTATATATAATCTTATTGTCTAATAATTTTACTACACCTTGCGTAAGGTACGCATAAAAAATCAAAAAAAACCTAACAACTACGTTCCACAAATTATGGAAAACTCATTGGAAAACGTCGACACCGTCGTCGAGGAGGTGATGGAAGAGATCATAGCTTCAGTGGTTTCGGACTCGAGCCAAATCGAGTCGACCGTCCACTCGGTTCTCCGGGACATCATGGCAATGGCATTTGGACACCATAATACACAACTGGAAACCGACACCGTTAAAGTGGAATGCCGAGACAGACGGATGGTCGCCATCGTAGATCAGTTGGTCGACGCAATGGTGCACCTTGTGTCGGAAACGTTGTCCGCCGCGCCGCACGTA